ATATTATATAAAATTATTATATGCAGTCAGATAGGTGAGTTCTGCTGTGTTGTGTAGGACACCTTTGAGCCAAGATGAGTTTCAGATGAGTCTGCTTGGCACAGCGTAATAGATAATATGTGCTGAACAGCTTGAACTCGCTGTTCATAACAGCACCACAGCTGGGGGTTGCCGCAGATGAGGTGCCACAGTCTAGTGGTTGAAGTGTCCATCAACCTGTCTGTTTTGTTGCAAAGGAAAGCAGATTTTCCTAAAATCAGTGTAAGTGGGGTTGGGCACTTGAAACACCATTATCAGTCAGTGGGAGAGATGGAGTAGTCCTGGGGTTCATGGGTCTTTGAGAAGGCAGGAACACCAAGGATGGAGAAGGTTAGAGGTCAAGGGGCTGGCTTCTTTCTCTAGAGAGGTGTAGGAAAGCTTTAGGAGGCTAGGAAGGTTACAGCTTTCCATCACATGATGATTTTGGTACTTGGATTGTAGGGTTAGGAGAAAGAGAATGAGTTCCCACATTGCCAATGCTGCCAGCACTCTGCAGGCTTGTCTGGCATTATCTCAAACTTTTCTTAATCTGTCTCTTTCACACACATCTCCCCAGTGCGCTTTTGCTTGGTCTTGCTATTCTGGTGCCTGTCTCCTCTGCCTGCCACCTTCATCTGCCTCCATCCCTAGCACCCCTTGGTCTGGGCCCGCAGAGCTCCTCTGGAGTACTTGTGAGTGAGCAGAGAAAAATAAAACAAGGGGGAGACATTTTTAGGACGTTCTTTCTTTGCCTGTCCTTGAGATGCTACTCAGATCACTTTGTCTCCTCTGCCTCTGGTACCCTGGTTATCTTTGGGTCTTGGTTGCTGTGACAACTGGTTGGGGCTGTATCCTATTCATTGACATTACACACTGTCAAAAGTTGTCGCCACAGCAACACAGTGCCCTTTCTAAACATAGCTCCTCTGTTTATACCAGCACCAGGCACAACAGGGAGGGGCTGAGCAGGGGCAGAGAGGGGGCGACATGAGAGGGAATAACCTCTATCTGCTTATTTTTCAGAAAAGAAATTACAGAGACCATAGCCAATGACTCAGCGAAGACACTTGCTCAGGGCACTATCTTTCAAGGCTGGAGGTGTTCTCCATGCTGTGGTTCATGGTAATGACTGATGCAAGTCTCAGCAGACCTTTTTGGAAGGGACTTACAGGCATGTAAGTCTCTTTCATTCTCTGGGAGACTGCTTCCCAGGCTCAGGTCTCCTTTCTGAATGCTCTGTTTCACTGCGTTTCACTGATCAATGGCTCCAATGAACTGGGCCATTTTAGAAAGCTGGATTTATGTTCCTAGGTCACAGGAGCACCTGGGAAGATGCCAGACCTGGCCACTGCTTCTGCAGGTCAGACGTCTGGCCTTACTGCTCTGGGGAAGCAGTCCCTGATTTACATCTTGTGGATTTTGCCTGGCTTCTGGAAGTCAGAGGGGCTCTTCTGAGGTAAGGTGGTCTTTGCCTTTAAGCCCTCTTGAGCCAGCCTGACCTAACAGGTCAGGAGGGACAGATTGTTTCTGACCTTTCTATTGCTCTTTGATTAAAACAATCCTCCCTATCCATCTTCCTCCAGCTTTTCAGCCTGCTTGACCCTTCTGCTTTGTTTTCCATGAATCCCTTTTTTCCCCTCCAAGCCAGACTGCCTGACTCTGATCCTTACGGTCAGCATGTGTCCTCCACAGTATCGTCTCGCTCCAGTTGCTCCACACGCCTTTGCAGATACCTGAGGCACTCGGCCTTGCACGGACAGCTGCCTCGTATTTCAAGTCGGGGGAGAGGCTCTCAAACACCACCCACATCTGGTCCTGCTCAATGATGAAGTTCCTGGCCTCCTGGGAGTAGGGCAAAATTACAGCATCATCAACACCCTGGCTTACAGCCTCATGTACCCATCTCTTCCAACGCCCTCAGAGAGGACCTGTCTCAGATCCCTACAAGTTGTGCACTGCTTGTTCACCCTGGAGGACAAGTCTTCTTCATTTTGCTTTTTTCATCCCTTTCAGGTCTGTCCTGGAGCTATCTGGATTTCTTTGTGACAGCACTAAGTAAAATAGGATTCCCATCTGCCTCTATGTCATCACCAAACACTGGCAGCAGATGACACAGATAAGAGGATGGGAGGTGTCATCTGCTCTCCAGCTTCACCAAAACTGGTTTCATCCTGAGGGGAGGCCCAGGAGCAAGTCATGGGTGACATAAAGAAGACCAGGATTTGTATGGTGACAGGTCCCATTGTCCCACTCCATACTCACCTCCCAGGACTGACTCGTGGTTCGGTACTGCACTTGGTATTCCCGGTACCCATGCAAATAGTGAGAGGAAATATTCAGGCTCCACGTTAAGTTGTAGGTGTTTTCAGTTTTGCTAACCAGCTGAAGATTTCCTGGTGGCCTCAGCTTTACTGGAAAGAGAGAAGGAGCAGGGCTGATACCTGCGCATCGTCTGTCCATAACAGGGCTCCACCGCAAACCCCATTGCAGCAGGGTTGGTGTCTTGGCTGTGCTCGAGACTCCAGCCAGCCATGGCCATGTGAGATGGTTAGTGAGTTCCCCCACTCTGTTCCTCCTTCTTCCCCAGTGTCACTGAAGGCAAAAGGCCTGTTGTCTCTGGACTACGCTAGAGGCAGCTCCTCCTGTGAGCCTGTGAGAGTGGCCCCCGCAGTCAGTGCAATCAATCCCACATGGCCATGCATTCTATCTTGTGGGGATGATCCACAAGGCAATTGTAAAGGCAGGAATGGAGCATGTTGGGGTGACAGCTGCTACCCAGGTGCTCTATCAGAGAGCTACAGCCACAGAGGATGGAGTTACACAGACTATCTGGGTTGATCCTTCCCAACCCCTGACTCCAGCCATGCCTTCCTATGCCTCACCTTGCAGCAGCTCTATTGGACCTCTCCTTGAGCCAGGTACACTCACACAACCAGCAAAAAAATGACCAAAACAGATGTTTTTCTGCTGGATTAGTGAGTTGAATCCTTTCAGCAAAGACTGATGCATGCCAAAGCTGGCTTAAAGGAGGGTGGAAGCACATATCTGGTAAGAGGGGCAGGGGAAGAGCAGCAAGACTTTCCCTCCTCCTTGCAGCATGCATTTTTCAGGAGGTCAGCTGAGCTGTCATTGCCTGTTTGAAGCCAGAACTCCTAGTGCAAAGCACACTCATTCAACAGTGTCCCAGATACAGGACAGGACAGCAAGTGGCTGGCATGACATTGCACGTTAGAGGTGCAAGTGGCAGGAGTCAATGTGGTTCATCTGTGCTAGTTGTAGTAGGGGACAAGGAAAAGAGACAAGTCTACAGTCAGCTACAAGTGTGGCATAGGGGCGGATGGGGAAGAGAAGTTAGCTGTCATTTTGTAGGGAAGCTTCAGAGACTGCAAGACAGATGAGTACTCACTATTTGCAAGTGGATTGAAATCTTCTATTCGTGCAGGCGTATACATATTGTCTCCAATTTGGCAATGGACGGTCATGGTAAGGCGGTCTGCAGCGGTGAAGCATTGAGTCTGCAAAGAAAATTTACCATTAGTGACACTGAAGCCTCATCAATAAGCATTCATATTTCTAAGCATTGCCTATATATAAGAGGTTTAGGAATACTTGACAATAAATATGATATTTGTGGCTGAAAAGCATAAGCCTCAGTGGTCAGTGAGGAACCGAAGATTTATACTTGATGTAGTGGGATTTTTTTTGTTCATTGGTGAGAAGGGCAAAAAATATTGTGATATGCTAGTATGCTAGGATTGCTGTATGTGCTGACTAAGCAGGAAAAAAGTTACTTTCCAAGACTGACATTCATTGAGAAAAAGTATTTTTACTAAAACATTTTGTGTTCATTGGTAAGATTGAGACAACATTAGTATTAAATATTACTCTTGAAATGCAATGATACTAAAGGGCCACATACATCATACATACTAAATAAGCAATAGGGAAATTAGTTTGATTAGAAAGAAAAGATTTTGGAGCTGTTTACCAACCCTGCAATTTGTCTTTGCACATGCTGTGCAAATGTAAGAAATCTTGGCTGTTGTTAGAACTGGTTGTGACTTTATCAATAAGGAAAATTGGCTCATATTTGGGTGGGGTTTTTTTCTGAAAACACAAGGACTACAGTAATTTTGGATATGCATGAAGGAAGTACATAATGAGTCTAAAAAAGACTGAATTAAATGAAGAATAATAGCTAGAGGATATTTATCACTATTAGCTCCAGTGATGTGTTGCTGTTGCATCTTGCATTTGACACATCTAACCAGACTTCATAGTAGTTAATGATCTGGGAAATGGTACTGATCTCTTCAAGGAAAATGAGGTCAAGAGGTGACCTCAGAGCTGGTGGAGATGCTCGTCCCTCCTCAGAGGAAGGGATTAGGACCAAACCCAGGTAACTGAGACATGGGACACCACATGTGATCTGTCTGTCCTGCACCTCTTCTACATGTGTCAGGACAGCATGGCTCAGTTCACAATTAAACCTATCCTCCCAGCAGGGGAATCCACAAGGGTGATGCATTATCAATGACACACAACTTCAAGCCCACCCCCAGAACTGGAGTCAGGGATTAGGTTTGGGCTTTTTATATTACTCCGGGGTGTCACACTGTTTATAGAAGCACCTACAAATTCCTTCCACCTTGTCATTAGCCAGGACATCCCAGATGAATTACTCACATTATTGTTTTTGCTGAAGATTTTGATGCATCTCCTCAGTCCTGTCATGTGTTCTGCCTTGGGTAATTCACAGTGCTCCTCGAATTTTTCAGGTAAGGAAAATGGCCTGGGTTTTAAGCAGGAGAACTCCAGTGATCAAGCAGCAGCACAGTTCCAAATCCAGTCAAAATTCCAGCCCCAGTCTTTCTGATTCACACCCATGGAGCAACATAAATGTTTTGGCTTTCTAGGTCCACATACCAAGCCCCAGAATGTATTTGCCCATCTCACCCAATTGGAGGTGTCTCTATGACAGTCATGAGCAACCCACCCACTGCCAGTATCACACTGAGCCTTTCCTTATGACAGGCACCCAGGAAAGCCCTGGGGTAGGCTGGTGAGTTGGTAAGTCTCCTGGCTGAAGATGTCATACTTGGAGACCACAGAGACTCAGCCAGCCCCCACTGCGGTACTGGGCACACACCTACCCATCTGCTGGGAGACATGTGGGAGAGGAAAACATCATGAACTCAGGGAGATGAAAGGTACAGGGGAGATAAGGGGAACAATATTTTCCTTCATTTACTGTTACTCTGGGTGCAACATCCCAGCTCATCCTGGCAATGGGCAAATGGCCCCTGTATAACTTTAATTCCACCTCATCCACACCCATCTCTATACATCCTCCTTTTCCATTGAAAATGCCTTTCAGTCCAGAGAGCAGCTACCAAGGAAGAGGGATTTTTTGGAAAATGAGGCACAGACAGAACTATGGAGCTGGAAGATGGGCTGTGCTAGGCAGTGTGGGACCGTCAGATGACAAACACTGAGCAGTGGCCAGCATCTCAGCCCTCACATGAATTTAAAGACAGAGTTAAAGACAAAGCCCCTCAGCTCTGTGACTCCACTACATGTGGCCTGGGGAGGGGGAGCCTATATTTTTGTCAAGTGGTAACCTTTCCAGGACACTTTTCATTCAAAGCTTTGGCTTTCCTCAGCCTCTCCAGTTACCCACCTGTCACAAAAAGCTAACTTTGATAGAATCTGCAGCTGGCATGGTGCTTCAGCCAGGTCGCTGCCTGGGTTCCAGTCACAGAAGAGAGCCGCCCGTGAGTCATACCAACAAGTTAGGCTGGAGGCACCTGCCAGCAGAGGAGACAGACAGCAACGTGGCTGAATTAGCAATGATGTTTGGCGTTAACCATCACCCCGTACAATTCTGCCCCATCCCAACCTACAGACTGACTCCTCTGCCGGATAACTAACTGTCTCCAAGTAAGAAAGGCAGAGCCACTCACTTGTCTATGTCCTTGGAGGTTGATGTGCTCATAAGAGACCTTTAACTATTGCAACCTCCTCTGGCTGTATGTTACAACACAAGCATTGCACAGCAACATACCATGGCACACACACTCCTACGGCTGACCCCCCTCCCTGCTCACCCAGCTGGCACGGGTGAAGGGAATCATTTCTTACCTTGTGCCGAGTCTGATGCCAGTGAGAGAGCCATGAGGCTGAACAGCCAGAGGTGACACAGAAGCAGCAAAGAGGGCTTCATCTGTACTGGTGACACACTGAAAGAGAGAAGACGCCCCCCC